CAAATCCAGTGTTTTCTAGATTTATTCATAAGAATAGTTCTTGCCTATTCAATGTACACAAACGGTACGGAAATTTTGAGAACTGCCAAGAAGGAGGTATGTTGCTTATAAGCTATTATATCGGTTTCGTGTCCTTTTCCCCAAAAAGAACATTTAATCTTTTTGTAGGGGGAGGTGAACTGTCTTCATGGTATTCGATTTTTGAGCATGTGCTGGATCATTCTCGGTCATACTTATTACTACATCGGAAAAAGCTTAACCACAGGTACGTGGTTGGTCTTTGTAACTCAATAACTCCAGGGTATACTATTACCAGCGAAAGAAATCCTTTCTCAAAAACCTTTCTTGTATTTAACTTCTATTGTCGCATAAATACGACTCTTTTACTCTTTCCTTTTATTTTTGGTTACAGTTATCTTCGCCTAATTTATTTGAAAAAAAAAAACTCCAAAGTGCATTTGACGGCAGCGGAACTTTGTTAGACTGATTAAAATAGTCTCTTTTTCATTTCTTCTACATACATTTTTAGACAATCTGATCCCAACGCTGATCGATTTTCCCAAACATTTTTATACGCAAGTTATCGTGCAGGCTCCTCTCGCTGTCGATTCGTTCTTTTTGCTTAGGTAAACTTGGTCTCAAAAAAGCTTTTTCCGAGTTTTAATAAAGATTTTCTAAAATTATAGCGGTCTACTGGCTTCATATATCTTCTTTAAAAAATTGCTAAAAGACAAAACCTTGCGAAATCCTCGAAATCCTCTAATGTGGCTGATGATCTACGTCAAACGCTACACTAGGTAAGCTAAATTCGATCCGTTTTTTAGCCTAGTCTATCTAGTCACTTTCTTAGGCTTACACCTACTTATGCTGTAATAATGTTGTTCGACGTTACCTTGTTTACCTACGTATCATCTGGGCCCTTCTGGGCACCTATTGAGAAAACAGGATGTCGTATAAGCTGGTGGACAAATTTCATCTATATGAACAATTTTCTGCTACAGGACAAAGAGTGTGTAGGTGTTAACTTTATTAGTGTCCATCTGTGGACCATCCAGCAATGGATACTTTGTGGGTTTATAATGTCATTAGGAACAGGATCCTGGCGTTAATCAGATATCACTTCTGAAAGCCTGCTTATAAAAGTGGTCACTTTTTGGGCTTATCTTAGTACTGCTTCACTCTCCTTCGTTTGTACAGGTTACAAAAGAGGCTTCGTAATTTCTTGAATTCGCAAGTGAGTATTCGTTTTCATAGAGTGCGATCGGAGACCTCGTGCCGAAGCCTGGCTGTAGTTTTCACTTTCGCGTTTGATTCACTTCTTCAAAGTATTTAGGGAGGCTGCTTGCGTATCTGTAGAAATACCGGTTGTCGTAGTTTTCAGGAAATGCTTAGTTGGGAGTCTCTTATACCATTTGTCACCCAAAATTCTCTAAAAATCTTGCTATTTCAGTGTATGGGATGGACATGGTATCTAGCCAATGATGTTCAACTCCATTATACTGTTGCACCTGTACTTTTCATAGCTTTTGCAAAGTATGTCACTTTCA